AGATAGATAGATAGATAGATAGATAGATAGATAGAGAGAGAGAGAGAGAGAGAGAGAGAGAGAGAGAGAGAGAGAGAGAGAGAGAGAGAGAGAGAGGGAGGGAGGGAGGGAAAGGTAGCATCCTCCCCGGAAGAGAACGTACGGTCTTTATGTCTGTATTTCGAGCAACTTTCAGTCTATATAGAGCAATAATAACTTCCAAGTTCCAATCAAGATACAGCGATAATGACCGTACGTCCTATTTGGGGCAAGATGGTCGTAGTGTGCACTCCCCAGCTTTACCCTTTCCACTTTTGCCATGGCACTGAGTAAGCAGGCAGTTTCCTAACTTGGAATCGCATATGCTGAAAAGAAGCAACTTGATGCTGTCCTTTGACTTCTTTTTGTTTTTTTTTTTCGCCCTCTCCTCTTTCTACTTTTCTTTTTCTTTTCTTTTCTTTTTTTCAATTTCGTTTTGTTTACTGAATGGTGTTCTCTACTGGCTCCACGTGATGGACAGATGGATGACATTGATTTGAGGCACATCATTGCTCGGACCCTAGACTGTTTCGCAGTGCACCCGGGCATGTGTCCCTTGGCACACACCCCGCTGCCCGGCCAGATGGAACTACCAGACGGAATCCACGGCAGCCCTAGTGCAAAAAAAAAGCGAAAAATAAAATAAAATCAGAAAATTGAAAATTCTGGAGAAAAATTGTTGTGTAGAATTGCAATGCAAACAACTTTCGGCTGCGGTCCTCTCACAATCGAGGGGAAATGCATGTTGCCCCGTCCTAATCGGCAGTGGTCAGGGAGTAGGGTGGGACCCCCCATGGGGGGCCCCGGTTACGCAAAGACAGTGCATTTTGCCAGTAGCTCCAATCTACTTCCCTCACCCCCCTCGAGTAACAGCAGTGTCTAAGGCCAACACTGTCTCCCCCCTCCCCCTTCCCCCTCCCCCCCCCCCCCCCCCCCCCCCCCCCCCCCCCCCCCCCCCCAACACATCACGGCCAGCAACCCAACACACGCACACCAGGCGAAGCAAACCAACCATCTCAGTTGATTGGCACCAAGCTTGCCCCACCCTGTCAGTGGGGATTCATACCACGACCTCCCGAATGCCACTTGTGTGCCTAACCCTGTTTCAACCCCTTTTAAGTCCTAAGCCCTTTTAAACCCCATTTATACCCCCCTTTTCCCCACCAACGGACGACACTCGAAAAACAAACAAGCGCCCAGATTTGGGCTGCTTTGGGTGGGCACAGAAAAGCTCCAGGGAAAAACACACACACACACACACACACACACACACACACAAAAGTCCCGGAATTGTTTCATGCCCAGGGTACCCTGCACCGGCATACGGTCGGGCGACCTGCACAGGTGCCCGCCCGGCTGAGCTTCCCTGGTAGCCTTGCTCGGAACAATAATATATCAATTTAATAATTTAATAATTTTATTTCAACCTGTATGAATTTATGCAGTGCAGTAACATCAAAGGCCTATATATCGTCACAAATAGAACTGCCCGGTAAACCGTAGGCAGAGAGAGAGAAGAGGACAACAAACGAGGGGCTGTGACAAACTGTTTCGTCGGAGTTTCACCGACTCATCAGGAGGCTGAACCCTCAACAGTCTGCAGAATCCC